CAACTCTATAAGCAGAAGCCGAAGGAAAAAATATCACTATTAATGATATCAACTTTAACAGCTCACATTAGAGTAACTGTAACCATAGCCATCAATCAAATTGAAAAAAGGTCACAAATCACCCTGCCCTACTAGAATTAATTAAGCAGCAATATATAATTTAGAACGCTCTAATGGCAGTATAGCGTTATGGCTACTTTGTCTGCACTAATAGCAGGTATAGGGTTAAAAGTCTTTCTGGCTTTTATGGGAAATCCCCAATGCTGCTGATGGAATCCTATGAATACTCCAAATCACTATGGGTAGTCCTAGTGGACTACCGGTTCTGTGGACATGGCTTGGTGGGCATGGCAGGGGAAGGATACTGCAAAATCCCCATTCCCTCCCCACTCCTGGGGGACAGATATTGCAAAATCTCCATTCCCTCCTCACTCTGGGGCCAGCCAGAGGTGTTATTTGCCGGTTCTCTGAACTACTCAAAATTTCTACTTCAGAACCTGCTGAATTTTACCCCTCAATTAGTGACCATTCACAGTTGCAATGGTGATTTTTTTAAAAAGCAACCTTACAACCAATCCTTGCATTTTTGACCTTCACGGGTTTGTACAGGAAAGCTGAAGTAAGATCATGAGCATAGTTGTGGTTTCACTTGGCAACCACTTTGCTTAACAACTGAATTGCTGGTCCCTATTGTATCTAAGCAAGGACTTCCTGTATTTCCACATTTCTCAACCCTGACAATTGTAAGATGTGTGGACTTCACTTCCCAGAATCCCCCAGCAAGTATGGGGAATTCTGGGATTTGAAGTCCCCATATCTTAAAATTGTAAAGGTTGAGAAACATTGTGCAACTTTATTATGAATACTATCTAAATAATTATGTCTCACTGCCTCCCTCCCCACTGCAGTAATTCTTTCCCTCAGCCTTCTCATGGGAATTTGCCGATATTTTTGATGAAAATGGATGTGATTCACGAAAGCTTACATTTTAGCCTTTAAGTTGCCATACCATTCCAGGTTAGTCTTTTAGATCTCTCTATGGAAATAAACTTTCATTCAGGCAATCTCACATCTAAAGCTTGAAACGAGGAGCATATATTTTCTGAAGAGTCTTTTCTCAAACACTGTTATTCCACCTTCACCTCAAATATTAATGTAGGTAAAAGGATATACGTCTGCCCAGATTCCTTTATCCCCCTTTCCCTTGTCTTGCGCATTCTTCCCCCTCTCTGTTTCTTGCGGCTTAGTGATCCAAAAAGCAGAACTCAGAATGAAAAGTGGCTGAAAGGCTTGATGCAGGTGGGTGCTTGTAGGCTTCCATACAGGGCCGTTCATGATGTGTTATTGAAACTGAATCTTAGTCAGAGGTTTTAGCTACAAATCTCTTCAGGCAAGGAGCAGAGATCTGTCTTTTTGGGTTAATCTATTATACACATACCAATAATATGCTTTCTTTACACTGGAATATTTTACTGAATGCAGCATGGTGAATGCCATTGTTGTAGCAGAGTGTCATTGGCATTTGTGGGATGGAGTGGTGCATTATTCCTTCTCTCTCTAAACTCTGCCACTGAAATGTTATTTTTCCTTTTCTCCTTTTTTATGAGTACCTTTTTTTAAAAAAATCTGCAGAGAGAAAGTGTTTCTCCTGCTACACTGCTCAGATAGGTAGTGTGCACTCATGCATCTTTTCGTCATGGCAAAACAACTCCCTAAGAAAACCAACAAACTGGAGAAGTCTGAACAAGCTTTTATTAGTCCGAGAAAGAGGTTCCAGGGAGTCTCTTGTCTTTTGCACTCAGGTGAGAGAACAGCAAGAACCACAAGGTGAAATAGATATTATATGAAATGTTGATCAAAGAGAGTGAGAAGGTGAGCACAGTCCCAGAAGATGGGAAGCCTTCCACAGAAAGAATTGGTTTGCTACTGATAAAAGAAACAAGATAACCACAAAAGTGAACTTCGGTATCTTTCACAGTGTGAAAAGATTACAGATGCATTCCTTGAAATGCAACATAACAGCTTTGATATACGACTTATTCCCAGTCTCTAATTGTTATTCCAACAAGCAATCCTTGCATTTCACTGCAGGAGGAAGAACAATAAGGAAACACTTTGAATCTATGGCCTCCTCTCAAGGTGTTAAACTCTAATAATCAGTTAGGGGGCCCTGAATGGCCCATAATAAAAATTTCATCCAGGATGATGATACATGAGAAATAGAAACCAATGACGTCTATGAGCCTAAAGAAACATATGGCAGCATTACACGTGTGCATGAGCAAGATTACATAAGGTAATTCAACCACAGTTCCTATTTCAGCCCACCACATTTTAAACAGAAAGACAGCAAGACCACCCCTTCCTAGCAGCAATGCCCCCCAAAAGTCATTCTTGCCATGTGTCTTCCCATTGCCAACACTGCTTCAGCGTCTGCTTTGCATGCAACACAGAACATAAGTAACCCAATGGATGTAGATCCAGAGAGATCAGGAGAAGCAGAAGGAATTGGCACCCATGTGACTTATAGCATCTTAGGTTAATCCTTTTCTCAAGTCAGTTTGCCTCTCCTCAAGCACAAAGCACCCCTCTTTCTCCAAAGCAACAATGGACCGCTATCAGCCTCTGGATTCTCCCTCTCCCTCTCTCTCTCTCTCNGAGGAGGGGACCAAGCTTTTCTCCAAAGCATCTGAGGGCAGGATAAGAAGTAACAAGAAGTAACGAAAGCTTATCAAACAGAGATCCAACCTAGAATCAAGGAGAAGCTTCCTGAGAGTGAGACATCAACTGATAATCAAACTCCTTTCAGAAATGAGGTCATTCTTATTCCAGGAGTGTATTAAATTAATGTGGAATGGCTTGCCTTCAGAAATTGTGGATGCTCCATCACTGGAGGTTTTTAAGAAGAGATTAGAAGCCACTTGTCTGGAACTGTCTCATGCTTGAGCAAGGGGTTGGACTAGAAGACCTCCAAAAGTCCCTTCCAACTTTGTTATACTGTTACTTACATATTTCTGCTGCAAAGGAGGAAAGGCCCATGATAGTGCCTAAGGATTTGGAAGTATTGGTGTAGATAACATCTAACATTCATCCCTTTTCCCCCCTTTTTCTTGGTTTTAGTGAAGAATATGAGACTCCTTTACACCTGTGGAAAAACTGTTGCCTCTAGCTATGGAAACTAGTTTCTGGTAAGTCCATAGTATTATTTTGGAATGTAGGATAGCAATGAGAGCCTGACCATGGCATCTAAGGGACTATTTTGAAAAAGTTAATCTAACAGCTGCAGGATCAGAAAGAGGTGGGATTAAACACTTAGCACCAGTAACTTCAGGTGCTATAAAAAGGCTATTCTGTTGGCACTAAGAATGGGTGAAGGGGTGGCTCGATTAAGAATTAAGAGGCTTGAATAGGTTGCAGTTTCCCAAAGTCAGGCTCCTCCATTTCCTCTTTCACCCTGCAATGTATTAAGCATAAGTTTCCCATTGCATTTAGAGGAAGAGATTCTGGATTAGTATTGATAATCCAGGATGTAAGGATTTCTTCACCAAAGTAGTGGTCCATTAAGAAGGGAAGAGTGTATAGCCATGCTCCTTAAATCATATTCAATGACATCACAGGTAACTGAATGCAACCACTAGACTTCCTGGGAGGAGGAGGGCAGTACCCGCTGAACGACATGACATCCTAAGAAAGACTGAAACAAGGATCTCTATAAAAGAGATGAAGGGATAATTGAATCTGAGCTGGAAGGTAGCAAAATCTTTCCTCTTCACCGTGCAACTCCTTACAGGCATGGCCTTAATTGAAGAAGGTAAAATGATACTTAATTCTGGTTGAGAAATACGCTGCTGCTCCACCTTCATGGTGAGCCTAAGGCACATTCATGTCTGAGGCAATAAACTCAAACAGAGACATTCTTTGCTCTTCTACTTGTTAACATGCGGCCCCTCCTAGTTATCTCATGAAGCAATCAGAAACTATACAAAGCCATTAAGCTGAAACAGAGCCATCTTGCAGCACGGAAAGAGGAGTGGTCCAATGAATAAGGGACATCTCTCTTTCTTCTCAACAGCCATAGGAGGTTCCCCCTGGTCTCCTGCATCCACTTGCTGCACTTCTGGCTACTCCTCCTCCTAGCCTCAGCAGTTCCGTTGCACAACGCCTGGTCTCTTCGGACCCGTGGTCTTCTGGCAGCCCGGCCATTGTGCAGCCACCGGAGCCCCGCAGCATCCAGATCTTTCTGCATCTGGGATAAGAATCTGCCTACAGAGAAAACAGGATTTCACTCTACCTCACTGCGGCTGCACTCTATGGTTTCCAAAGGGGCTGGCCAACGCCATGCCATACGGTTGAGGCGTCAAGCCAAAGGGATCCGGCCTGCTACCCCATCTGGCTTTGAGGATGGTCCCTCCTCATCTCAGTACCCCTGGGCCATTGTTTGGGGTCCCACAGTCTCAGTTGATGAGGGAGGGGATGCCAGCTCTGCCAACCCAGGCTTTCCACTTCTGGATTATGCCTTTGTTTCATCCAACGGAATGGCAACAGCACAACCCAATTCCCACTCACTGTTACACAATGAAGGGCTCAACCTGCGTCAGACCCCAGCCACACTACCACCCTTCCTCTTTGGACCTCGGGGAGAAGGTAAACCATCAGTTGCTTTCCCTTACTCATTTAGAAACTGTTTTAATGATTCTGTGTAACTAACAGCTTGAGTAACAAGCCAAAATTAGGCAGGGGCTATTTTTGTCATTGCAAAAACTGCCTTCTGTGGCTGCTAGGTTTTTGTGCTACTCTGTTTACAGATGAACAGAAATCAATCTAGGAAACAGTTGACCTTCCTAAAAGGAGCTTAAAATTTAGTGCTTCTCCTCATAAAATTCGTCCCACTTCATTTCTTTTGTATGACTTCGCAACCTTTGTCTGTTCCAGGTGTGGACCCCCAACTTTACGTCACCATTACAATTTCTGTCATTATCATCCTTGTTGCCATGGGAATAATACTCAAATTCTGGTAAGTAGATTCTACACAGGTGTAAAGGGTTGTTCCAGACCTTTGCTGAAATCAAAAGTAGTATTGTGGGATGTAGCAATGGTCCTGGGAATGGGCTATAATTGCAGATAATGAATTCCAATGCCTTGGAGGTCATTTTTTCAATTATCCATTCATTTGCCTTGGAAGTGTATTTTGTTGCCCTAATTATCTCACAAGCAGCAGTCTGGCTGTATGAATAAAGTTAGTGCTGTCCAGCGGGAAGCATTTTGTGTATTATGAAGCCCATAATATGCCTAAGGCTGCAAATGGCAGGTCACTGCCCTGTCAAACGATAGGAATTGTTAGTAGTTACTCTAATGCCTCGTCCTTTACTACTGTGAGTGGCGTTTAGGATGGAGAAGATTTAAAGGTCAAACTCAGCAACTTTAAAGCAATGGATGCTTTCCGTTTTCTCTTTTCAGTTTTGTACAAATAAGCTGATTTTCTGCTGAATATTTGGATCGGATCTATGTGTAGTATGGTTTCAAAGTACAGAATAAATCCCTAATAGGTCCATTCTAAATAATTTTCTCGATAGATTATTAGAAGCACCATATATAACAAATGATAAAATGGCTTTATTAATATATGCTATGTTGTAGTAAATGATTAGCTTCTTTCCTTAGTTAAGAATGGATTTCAATCTCATTCGACATAATGAAAATAACCTCTGTGTCCTACAATGTTCAGCTTAGGGTGAAGGCAATGCCTGTGTTCATAATAAGGCTGAGCAGTGATCCAGATTCAGAGGACAAAATGTGATTTGGTATGTGTATGAACACACATGGCTAAAACTCTGGAGAGGCCTTGCCAGTCTGCATAAAGAATATAAGCTAAATGAACCAAATATCTAATTTAGTTTCATGTAGCTTTCGTTCGCTTTTCAAAAGCTGTAGCTAGTTTACATGTAACATTAGATCATAATGTTGAGGTTTTTCTGTTTTTGGCTTAGTGAGATGTACAAAGCTATCCATATGGTTTAATATTATATGCAAAACAGGCTGCTTTGTTTGAAAAAAATATATAGTTTTTTGTTATGTATTTATAACGTAAAAAATAAGCAGCTCACTGATATAATGGAGAAACACAAAACTACAAATTGAATTGGGTTTCTCTTGAATGGATCTGCCATACAGTTGTAAAACCAAGAAACAATTGGATTGATGCTGCAGATGAATGTATACTTTTCTTTAAATATTTGGTCTGTGCTCATATCAGATGCCATCAAAGTATTCCCAAGGCAGTCACCATGTAAGGGGTTGATGGAATCTTTTATTCAGTTGCCATAATTCAAGCTCCACTGTAGAGAGTTTTTTTTTCTTTTTTGCGCAAAGTGATTTTATGTTTTATTTTTCCTTGTTTCATAAGCCAAAGAACTATTTGAAGAGGTAGCTTTAAAAGTTTTGCTCCAAACCTGTTATCTTCCCTCTGTAGAACAGAGGCAGGCAACGTTTATGTGGTACAATATAAAATGTTTCACTGCTGGAAGCTATATCTTTTATTTTGGGTACCAAGAGAAACAAAATGTTTCTAAATAGGCAGCACTGGGATTTTTCTTTTCTTTTCTTTCTTTCTAGAGTGTGTTTGGCGTATTATTTTTGCAGTTTGATTGACTGTATACTCTTAAGTCTTAACCAACATTTCAGTTCCCGGCCAGAAAAATTATGGAAAACCTGCTTCAGATCTCTGCTGATTTTCAGTCTGCAATTGTATGTGGACCTGGGGGTTCCAAAAATATGCTTTTAAAGCTGTATGTGTGTTGTAAATAATGGACTGCCCACATCCGATCTAGTATGGATAAGAAACAAAATTGATTCTTCTTTCATCCGCCCCCTTAGGACACAGGGAGAAAAGGAGAAGTTACTGTCACCTACACAATACTTAATTCATCCACTACTAGAAGAGTATTTAAGCCATACCGAGCTTTGTGAATCAATGGAAGTTGAAGGGAAATGAGGAGGCCTGTTATTTTCCTGAATGTTTGGACTGCTAACCCACATTTGTGGGACCGCAGGAATCAGAAGCAGTCTCTTCACACCTTGTAATCGGAACCAGCATATAAAGTTTTGGAGGTCAGCCCCAGGACTGAGGATTATGGTTATATGGGTGATCTTCCTCCTTAGTGACTAGCTTTGTCCAAGCTCATAAAGCTCAAGTAGGCAGATGGGTGGGCGTGCAGGTTGGCTAGCTAACAGGGTAATTCTTTTGTATCAGTTCCTTTCCTTCTTCCTTATCCTGCACCAGAATTCAAGTGTCAACACAATGCACAGTATCAGTCAGCAGCCGTTCCCAGGGAAGCAACAAAAACCTTTTGTTGCTAGCTCAGCTCCTGTTAAAATCCGCCACCTGCATTTCTAGCACTAATTCTAGGCCCAGTACTCTTGAAATAAGAATTAAAATTGGCAGCCTCGGCTACATTAGGGAACATGTGGAAGTAAACATGATCTGGAAGCTTTGACAATTCTGTTAATGATCATTTGCATCACATGATACCAGTTGAGGTGTTCCTTCAGGCAATACGGTAGCCTGTATTTCCTGAAGGATTGAAAGTTTCAAGAAAATGCTACTGAGATCTTGACAGCTTTTGCCTGACACATAGAAATGAAAATAAAGGATTTGTGTGGATGGAGAGGCTTATTCAGTGGCTGTGGATCTCTCTGATGTTGGTTGCTGATTTGGTACAATGATGCAACATGAAGCAGTTTAGTTATTACAAAATGAATGAAAACTTATTTTATAATTATAGCATAAAGATTTGATGTTTAGTAATTCTGAGCATACGTTCTTGCTGACAGAACACAAGAATTGATTTGTAGGCTCATATAAAAGTAATGTTTTCTGGGATTCCTGACAATAGAGTAACCAGGTTGTTATAGGGACCCATATCACTTTTTTTTTAATGGCAGCAAACTCTAAGATACCCTCTTAATCTGTTTCTTAGGCAGGCAGGTAGATGGATCCATGCATGTCTTCAAGATATGATATTTGCCAAGGTTATTATAGTGTTTTAAGTATTAGAATAAGAGGAAACCCAGGTTCAATTCCCCATTCAGTCCTGAAGCTGATCAGGAAATTGCCTTCAGTTTAAATTACATCACAGATTTTGTGAGGCTTAAACAAAGGTAGTAATCTAAGATTGAGGTAGACAAAGAGAAGCTCTCTGTAGGGATTTTTACATACTAAAGACACTTGGCTATGCTTATTTTAATCCTTCTCTGGTAGCAGGAAATATACAAGATACTATCCTTATGAAATAAGAGAGACTGGAGTTGGGGGATAGTGGTGTAAAGTGGTGAACCACACAATTTCCAGATGAGAGAGAGAAGAATAAATAATTAAGAGGTCCATGAAATAATAATGTACTTTCTAGAGAGAAAAGAGCAATCTCAACTATATTACTGTTACTGTTGTCATTAAGGAAGTAGCCTGAGAGAGTTTTAGAAATACTCATATACTTTTGTTGTACAGTGTTAAAACAAAACAAAAAACCTCAGCCTGCTAAATGAATTTGGGAACCACTGTTCCCTTTCTTTATGGGTAAATGCACCGATTTTGTTTCTTTAAGCTATGAATTCTATAACATATTTATTCTTCTTTTATTAACAAAGATAAAATACAAAACAGAAAAACGGGGGGAAAACAGATGGACAACACTAATAACCAAACACTAATAACAAAAAAAAAGATCTTATGTTAAAAAAACAAAAACAAATATCAATTAAATCTAACATTAAACGTAAAAAATCCACCCCAGCTGAATTGCTAAAAGATACATCCAAAAATAATATGTTCTCCTCTCCTTACGTAATGATCTACAAATAATTATGTAGTTTCCCATCTATATTTAACAAAAATGCTATATTAGATACACAAATATCCCCAATGTGGAAATCTATTTACCTAGCAATCAAATTGACCAATACAATCTATATATTAAAAAATAACCAGTCAACGGGTTACCTCAAACATAAAACTAATCTTCAAATCCCTCTGTTAACCATCTGTTATTGTATTTTAACATGTAGAAAATCCACAAACTCTTTCCAGTCTTTTACAAAGTTGTCTAATGTATTGTCTCTAATCAAGACAGNCCCTCCCACACACAGACACACACCTCCCTCCCTTTGCACAACATTATGAGATACAAGACATTGCATTGATATTTCAGTTAGTGCAACACTAAAAATAAAATCCTGTCCACAATATGCTAGGAATCTGAAGGTGATGTTTGCCCATTAAGAAAAGCAAGAAAATCAAAACAGAATTAAGAAGTGAATAATCGGTAGATTAAATCAGACCATGCCATCACAAGGAACTAGAATTGCGGGAAGCTTTGTCTTTGAAGCTTTTAGCTAATATTGGGGAAAACAATCTGCGTTAAATCAATGGAAAGCAACTGCCTAGAAAAGATGCTGAATGTCTACACTTGGGAAAAATAAATGAGGGGAAGAGAAAGGAGAATTAATATTCCTTCTTTGCATATTGGGATGGGCAGATGAAACTAGAGTGGGACCCTTGGATAGATTTCTGCGCTATTCTGCAGAGGGTTCTGATTCTCAAATATCTAAAATAGCAAATGCATTATGCTATTCCCTTTCAAGTCAAGCAATGTTATGGAAAGCACAATAAAAGGAGTGAGAGTAAGCAGAAAAAGAAAATAGAAGTAGGAGATAAAAGAAATTAAATCTAGTTCGCACAACACATTTTTCTACACTACTGACTCCTTTCCAAGCCATGCAGAACATTCTTGCTTCCACCATGTTGATGCACAAGTTCATTGGTGGCCTTTTGTAATTTAAACATATCACACTTTTTCTCTCTTCCCCTCAAGTAATTCACTCTTGCTCTTTATATTAATTTTGTGATTTGATCTTCACTTATTCTCAATAACGTCAAATCCCTCCGCATATTTATTTCTTACTCATTTTTTGTATTCAAACCACATTCATTCTTCCCTCGTTCACTCTTGACCCTATCTC